GAAGAAGATGAGGGACCTTCAGTACTTTTCCCCCTGCCGCCCCCTTAGGAAGAATACAAATATCGAGTTACAATATCACAGCAGGCATGTACAATGGCGTCGTTACCTTCTCTTTCTCCTCTCACACATTCTCTCTCCCTCCCTCTCTCTCTCCCTCCCTCCCTCCTTCCCTCTCTCTCTCTCTCTAACTCTACGGCTAGAAATCTACAAGCAAAACTACAAATAAGAAACCACGGCGTGCTGTTTTGCTTACTCTTCTTCTCCATCCTCATCAGCTTCACTGACAAAGAAAGCGACAGCCTACAGTTTCTTAACTTGTGATGCCCGTACAAATACACCCTTCCCCTTGGGGCATGTAAAGTACTGTTTTTTATCAATGAATGAGGAGCCGTCATTGGTTCCCTCGTTCCCCTCCATCATTTCCAATCCTATCCAGATACCGGCGCCAAACGCGGTGGGCCCGTTGAAGCGAACGACAGCCCGGTACCCCTTGTACGTAACGGTCTCTCCTATTTGTAATTCTTTTGCAGAACTAACGTGATTTGTCATCGCGGAGCGAGACGGGGTTGTCGAACGCGCACCAGCGCGCCCTGGAGTAGAGGTCCGAGCAGCCATCGGCGTTGATTGTAGGACACCGTTAGCAGGGCGCGACACGCCTCGTACTGCAGAAGCGGAGCGCCCTGTAGTACGTGACGGTGTGCCGCTTCGCATCGGTGTCGTACCACCGGCACGCACTGGAGTTCCACGGCGAACCGTGCTTGCGGCACTTCGCGCAAGCGGGCTGCGCGCACTTATGCGATGCGCAGACGGCCTGCGCACGGAGCCATTGGAGCTGTCGTGGGTAATGCTACTACGCCCCGGTCGCACGCCTGTCCTCGCCGGTGAGGTCACACGCAAAGCGCTGGTAGTGGCGGAGGTACGCGCCCCACGTATACGGGATGTCCCAGATGGTGTCTCAGCGCGACGCGGTGTACTCGTTCCTCGCACATTGCGGTCATGCGAGGAAATGGAATCCTCCATTTTTTCGTGTTCTTCACGAAGCCGCTGTATTTCGCGCTGCAGGAGTCGAACACACTGGTGAAGAGCTTGGGCCTCCTTATTAAACAAACGACACGCCTGAGCCACGTCAGTGGAGGTAAACGTCTCAAGTATCCTCGGCACTGTGATGGATTGTCTCGTCTGGGCGACGCTCTCCAGCCATGGGTGGTTCAGGGCATCGTATAGCGAGATGCGCTTGTGTGGATCCTTATTGAGGAGTCGTTGTATGAAGTCAAGAGCGGCGGGGGAAATACCCGGTGGCTCCGGTAGTGCGGTGTCCATTATGGTACGGAATACCTCCTTCTCTGGAGCGTGCGCCGCCGCTGAGTAAGGGAAGCTCCCGGAGAGCGTGATGTACGTGACAACACCGACGGACCATGTGTCGGCCTTAAAGCCGTCGTAGTGAGTCTGGGTGAATTTCGCGTAGAACATCTCGGGAGAGCCGTACCGCGGGGTACCAATGACGTCAGAGCACACGATGCGCTTCCCTATGAGCCGCTCTGCACCCGGGTACGGCATGCAAAGGGCCAGAGGATCCAGAGGATCTTTCGCCTCGGCCGACGTGCACACCCCCTTTGATCGCTTCGCCAGCCCAAAATCGGTTAGCTTGATATTATCGTCATTGCTAACAAGCAGATTCTCGGGTTTAATGTCGCGATGAATGACGTCGTGAATGTGGCAGTGCAAGACGGCTTTGATAATTTGGTACGTGTAGAGCTTCGATGTTTCTTCAGAGAGCTTCCCCTCTGGGGCCTGAAGAATGATCTCACACAAGTCACCACACTGAACCTCCTCAAAAAAGAGGAGGAACTCCTTTTCTGTCTCAATGTACTCTAAGAACGTCACAACATTTTCGTGAGGAGGGATGTGACGTAAAACATCAATTTCTCGCTTCACCTCTGCCATTGCCCGCTCCACATTGCCTTTGGTCAGCGATATGAGGTACTCCTTCTCGATGATCTTCACAACGATCTTCATGTCCGGACGCGCGCCCGGCGGTTCATACGGAGCGATTGAGGTGCAGCGCTTCACAACACTCCATGCCCCACGCCCGACAACGGCATCGTCATGAATAAGATACTTATCCTGCACACGGGTTACGCCGGTGGGATGCTGCTCTTGCTGCTGCAACGCCGGTTGCGAGCTGGCCGATTCCATACGGGGAAAAAAGCACGAAAATGCTGTCGTGATATACCTTCCCGTGTGGATGCGCACGCACACGCAGTGTTGAGAGAGCGATAGACGCAGAAAAGAAAGAAGGAAAGAAAGAAAGAAAAAGAAACACAAAAAAAGGTGAAGAGAGTAAAGCATACGCCATGCAATTAAAGGCCAAATGAGTATGGAGAGCACCACGAGGAAAAGGAGAGAGAATGAGCGGCACCAGCACGTTCACCCGTGTTACTAAATATATTACCATCAGAGGGGAACGCTGTTGGCGGGGGAAAAAAAGGAAAACCAACCAAGAAAGCCGGGCAGGAAAGACCACACACACCCCCACGTGCACACACAACACACAGCACAGCACACATCCTTCCCATTCACTCGCTCTCGCCACAAGCATTCCGGGTAAACGCGAATATTGGTGTTGCGCGCACCCACCTCCCCCGCACACAAGGAAACGCATGCGCAAACGCATACAAAGGTCAGCAAAAAGCGAATCCCTCCCTCCCTCGCTAGAGAGATAGATA